AAAAAAAAAAAGAATTACTAGATACCCCCCAAAAGTATAAAAGAATTAGGCAACTTAAGTATCCCAGCCAGGGGGCGCCTGGTGGCTCAGGAAGTTGACCATCTCAATTTCAGCTCAGGTCGTGGTCATGATCCCAAGGTTGTAGGACTGAGCCCTGTGTCAGGCTCCACACACCTGCTTGTGATTCTCTCTCCCTCTGCCCCTCTCCCCTGCTCAGACTCTCTCTTTTTCTAAAATTAAAAAAAGAAAAAAGAATTCCCAGCCAGATTTCTCCTGGAGCAGGGGTTTCTGATGATGCCCTAGCTCCACCTGGCCCGCCTCAGGCTGCCTTCCTCCCAGGTCCCTGTCAAAATAGCATCTTGTGACCTCGGACACCTAATTCCCTTTCTCAACAAAATCCGAGACTTACCAGATTAAAGCCTTCACCCTCTTCACCCTTCATGCAAAGCAGTCCTGAAGCACTGAGTATCCCTGCCCAGGCCCCGCCCCCTCCAGAGGAGACCCAGAGCCACTCAGGTAAAAGCCAGCTCCCCCCCTATAAGCCAGGACCCCCAGACGCTTATAGAATGAACCAAAGATTCCCACTCTGAAGTCACAAATCCCTCACCTCCTTGAGCCGGGCAATGGCATCTCCTATCTCTGGGTGGCCCGTGCCATCCTCGGTCAGCACCTTGACAATCTGGGAGAAGTGCTGGATGAAATTCTGCTTTTCTTGGGCATAAGGGTCCAATTTCTGGTCTCCATTCATTCTGAGGGAGGAGTAAAGTGCTCTGAGGAGAGGAGGCACAAGTCAGAAACCTGAGCACTGCTCCCCTCCCCAAAGCCTCTCACCCCACCACACTCACCGAGGCTCCTCTGTCCACGCTTGGCACCAGCAGCGGGCACCGTGCCAGGCCCCCGGGGCCACCAGGGAGGGCCGCAGGAGGGAACCCAGCCACCTCTCCTGGGGCGCCCAGCAGGGAGCTGGCAGCCAGAAGACCCCCACAGATCTCAGCCAGCGGGACAGGGGCATCACAGGGGTGGCATAGGGAGGGGGCACTGAGCACTCCCTGCAGGGGCAAGCACCACAGGCAGATGCTCGGCTGCGGCTCCCCAGGTCACCCCCACCACCCCAGCCTTTCACCTCGGGGCCCACAATGCCCCGCCCTCTCCCCAGCTAGGCTCCAGGGCATTTACAGGAAGAAGTTAATGCAAGGGGGGAAAGAACGGCTGACCGGCTGGCTGGAAGTCGACTGATGGCACTTAGGTACGCACTTAAAATAACTTAATGCCACCCAACTACATCCCCTCAACCGTCAACCCTGCGGGGAACCTCTGGAATTGCTACTGCCTTGGCTTCTTCCCCCAAGTCCTGGAGCACAGCTGGAAGAGCCCAGACTGAAGGACCTGAGGACCAGGGGCTGGGAGGACCCTTAAAGCACCCTATTTCACGAAGGCCAAACGGAATCTCGAAGAGGCAGGAAGATACGTGACCAGTAGCAGGGCCAAATCTAGAACCCAGGTCTCCCCTGGGAGGCGGGGAGGGGGTGCGCAGGCTCGGAGATACCCCAAGAGGACGCAGACTACGCCGCAACCCCGGGAACCACGGACACGAGGTCCGTGGTCACAGGCAGCGCATGGCCAGCCTCGGAGCAGCCATCGGGGGGCCGGGGAGGCTCGGGGCGCGCACATCCCGGCGGCTTCCGCCCACCCAGAGGGTCAGCCAGTCCGGCCCACGGGCTCCCAACACCGGGGCCTCCGACGCAAGAGATTGGCCCTCGTGCGCCTCCAAGTGCAGCCGCGGAGCTGGGGCCGAGCCTCCCACCGCGGCCTGAGCGCCGGCCGGAGACCTCTCTCACCTGCTCCCGGATGCCGGCTCCTGCTCCAGAGTGTTGGCGGGGTACTCCTGAAAGCCGCCGGGCTGCGCGCGCGGCATGCTGGGTCTAGTAGTTCCCGAGCTCCCTTAGCTCTAGGCGGAAAGGCCCCATCAGACTACAATTCCCGGCATGCGGCAGGAGGGACAGGACGACGCGATCTAGCGCGGGCTGGCTGGGCAGAGACGAGCCACGCTGATTGGCTGCATCCCCTCGTGCGAGCATGGGGCCCTGCATGGGACAACCAATGGAAGGGCTGCATGCAGGACCCTGTAGGCTCTCTCTCTGCGCACCCTTGCAACTCGGGGTTACTCCACCCATCCAGAAAGGTTCTTGCAACTCGAAACCGCCTGGGACAGAAGTAGGTTTTGTTTTAAGGAGCGAAAGTCATTGTGGGAGAATACCCACTCTCACCGCTGCTATTTAACTTTGTACTGGAAGTTGAAGTCAGAGCTATTAGATCAGAAAAAGAAATAAAAAACAGCCAAGTTGGAAAAGAACTGGTAAAAATATATGTATTTCAGAGACATGATCCTAACTATGGAAAAATCCACAAGACAGCTGCTAAAGCTACTAGAGCAGGGTACAAAAACAACATACAAAAAAATCAGTTGTGCTTTGGCACACAAACAACGAACAATCCTTTCTTTCTTTCTTCCTTTCTTTCTTATTTTATTTTTTAAGTAATCTCCACACCGAACGTGGGGCTCAAACTCAGGATTCCCCCCCCCCCACCCCGAGATCAACAGTCCTGTGCTCTAAAGGCTGAGCCAGCCAGGTGGCCCTGCAATAAACAATCTCAAAAAGGAAGAATGTAATTCTATTTTCAATAGCGTCTACAATAATAAAATATCTAAGAATAAAATTTAACCAAGGAGGTAAAAGACTTGTACATAGAAAACTATAAAACATTGCTGAAAAATTTTAAAGAAAACGTAAATAAATGGGAAATGTTCTTTTTTTTTAATTTTTTTTAACGTTTATTTATTTTTGAGACAGAGAGAAACAGCATGAACGGTGGAGGGGCGGAGAGAGAGGGAGACACAGAATCGGAAGCAGGCTCCAGGCCATCAGCCCAGAGCCCGATGTGGGGCTCGAACTCGCAGACTGTGAGATTGTGACCTGAGCTGAAGTTGGACGCCCAACCGACTGAGCCACCCAGGCGCCCCGGGAAATGTTCTTAAGTAGAAAGACTTAGTATTAAGATATTCCCCAAAACGATCGACAGATTCAACACAATCCCTGTCAAAATTCCAACAGATTTTTTTTTTTTTCCAGCTATGGAGAAGGCAATCTGCAAATGCATATGTAATTACAAGGGATTCTGGATAGCTCAAATCTTTTTTTTTTTTTAATGTTTATTTTTGAGGGGGGGTGGTGGCAGAGAGAGAGGGAGACACAGAATCTGAAGCAGGCTCCAGGCTCTGAGCTGCCAGCACAGAGCCCAACTCGGGCTCAAATTCTCACTACAGAGCTATAATAATCAAAACCATGTGGTACTAGCAAAAGGGTAGACATACTGGCCAATGAAACAGATTTGAGAGTCGAGAAATAAATCTATATATGTTTAGTGATGGACTCTTTCTTTTTTTTCTTAATATTTTTTTATTTTTAAGTGATCCCTACACCCAATGTGAGGCTCGAACTCACAACCCCAAGATCAAGAGTCACATGCTCCACCGACTGAGCCAGCCAGGTGCCCCTAGTGATGGAATCTTAAATATGGCACCAAAAGTGGAAATGGCAAAAGAAAAGATAAATTGAACTTCATCAAAATTAAAAACCTTTGTCCACCAGAGGACACTCAACGGAGTGAAAAGAATGTGTACAGAATGGAAGAGAATGTTCCCAAATCCCGTATCTGATAAGGGTTTGATACCCAGAGTACATAAAGAACTCCTAAAAACAACAAAAATACAAACAACCTAATTCGAAAATGGGCAAAGGACTTGAGTAGACATTTCTTCAAAGAAAATCTACAAATGACCAATAAGCACATGAAAAGATGCTCATCATCATCAGTCATTGGGAAAAATGCAAATCAACCACAATGAGATACCACTTTACACTTATTAGTATGACTATAGCAAAAGCAAACAGATTTATTTTATTTTATTTTTTATTTTTTAAAATTTACATCCAAAAATTTACATCCAAATTAGTTAGCATATGGTGCCAACAATGATTTCAGGAGTAGATTCCTTAGTGCCCCTCCCCCAT